GCACGCTACTGTTAAAGCTAAAAATTATTTTTGCAATATGCAACTTCATCAACTTTCACTGCGTACTAAATATCAGTGAAACATTTGAAGCGGTTCTGAATATATTAATTAATTTCCATTTTTATAAAGCAAACTAACATTAATTGTTCATGTAGATTCAGACCCTTAAATATTCGCATATCATTAAGGAACACCCTGTATATTTACATATATGTTATCCAATACAATATTTATTTGCCAAGTGAATACAATAATAATATACGATAATCTACATGTGCAGCTACTGGAGTGCGTGAGAAAACATGTTTTTCTTATTTGTTGGGGAGTGACTTATTTTATTATTTATTCACTTTTTCTCCAATAAAGAATTTAAAGAAATTAAAAGATATTATCGCTTCATTGCTTATAGGACTCTCCAAGAACAGTCTCGCGAGCACAGCAGAAAATTGACAAAGTTTTTTTGTAATTTTTCACAATTCATAATGGACCACAAAAGAAAATAATAAAAGAAATGAGACTTAAATTATATCTACTACACAAGTTTTAAATAACTCGCACTTTGCTTAGAAGATGCATTGTTTATAAAGTACATCTCGTATTGTTAAGGGGGTTAGATGGTAGAATAGATATATAATCTAAATCTCGCCTCCTGTAAGAATATTACAAATAAAAGACGTTAATTATTATTATTATTATTATTAATGTTCTTTATATCAACACATTCATGTCTAGGGATGTTTGCTATCCTCTGTTGGAGCTTTGACTTGAACTTATGAATAGAAGAGATTTGGCTAAGGTTTTCTGGTATAAGATTATAGATCTGGGACAGGAGAACAAGAACGATCTCAACATGTGTGATGTTATGTTGCAACCGTTCTTGATTCCTCTATGGCCAAAAAATGTAGTTTCCGTACATAAAAAATGGGTTTTGATATGAGTTTTATTTGCTACACCCCAAACTGTGATTGCATATATTATGTGGCTTTACACCAATGACTGGTATACAAGTTCTACGAGTATGTACCTATGTACCGCTATGTAGGTTATGTGTATTTCAAGTGAATGGTTATATAGACCCCTAAGTAGATATTTGATTCTGTCTGTTACTGAAATGGTTGGCGCATAATTAGTTTAATGTTCAACTAACTACAGGGTGTCCCAGAAGTCGACGTCAAGTCGAAACCGGGTGATAGGCAAAGTCATAACAGCTATCAGAAAAATATTTAAAAAAATTTTATGTTTGTGTTTTGAAAATTATAGGTCTTTGAAAAAGATATAGAAATTTCACACCCTACGGCAGTCTGTCAACTCCTGTTACTACAAATATTAACTGTTTTTGGATTTTATTTTTTCAATGTAATGATGAATAATGCATCTTCAAACTGGTGTCTCAGCCTTGCTGCCAACTTTTCTCGTTCAGGAAGAATTGCCACTTATTTCCCAACCAAGTATTCCAAAGTAAAACTTTGCTCAACTTTAACTAAATGGTATAACACTTAGAAGATTACTCGTTAACTTATGCACAATTTTTATTTGAAAAAAAACTGAAGAAAATTTTTCAAAATTTGCTAATTAAACAGCGATTATGAAAACGCACAAGGACCCTTAAGGATAACTGTTTGCACAACAGTGGGCGTCAAAATGCTGCTCGACATCTTCTTAAAAAAGATCGGGTTATTAAACGAGCGAATCCACGGTTATTAACAAACTCAGCTGCTTCCAATAGTCTTTGCCGTAGCTCAGCTACATTTTGAATCGGCTTGAAATACACTTTTTCTTTTACAGTTCCACAGTAAAAAAATCTAAAGGATTCAAATCAGGTGATCGGGCTGGCCACGGTATTGTACCAGTCCGCCTTATCCATCTGCCTGGAAAGTTTTGATCGAGATACTCTCTCACTGAGAGTGCATAGTGCGCTGGGCAGCCATCATGCTGAAACCACATGTCCCTGTAAATACTCAGTGGCACGTCCACCAATAAATTTTGTACATGATTTTTCAAAAAAAAACAAATAAACTTCAGCAGTCAAAGTCTCTGGGAACTCAAACGGACCGATTATTTTACCATTTAAAATTCCTGTCCAATGGTTTATCTTGAAGCGATATTGAGATTTATCTTCTCTCATCAAATGTGGGTTTGCTACGTGCCACTCGTGGAAGTTATGCAGGTTCATGTACCCATCTTTCTTAAATGTGGTCTCATCCGACCATAAAATTTTTTCAAAGAACTGTGGATCTTTCCTGTGTCTTTCTAACATTGTGCGACAAAAAGCAACTCGGGGCTCATAATCCTGGGGCAGGAGAGGTTGAACACGCTGTATGTGGTATGGATGAAGCACATCACTTACTTGCTATTGCACACTTTGATACCGATCAGTACTCTTTCGTTTACTGCGCATCTTTACATGTTCGTGCTTGTTGATTTCGTATTGTTACTAATTTTGGATTCGTGAACTGGACTGTTGATCGCTTGTGATTTGGATTTTCACTGTTTAATTGCTCTTCAAAACAACATTTGCTTTCCTTAGACTACCTTTGATAGTGTGATTGTGCAGTGCCGCTATGTCCGTGTACATCGTACAAGAATATGCTAACATGCACCTCATTTATGGGGAATGCAGATGCAACGCTAGTGCTGCAGCGAGACTTTACTGTGAGAGGTACCCGAATGCAGCTCGTCATCCAGATCATCGAGTGTTCACAAATGTGCACCGCTTACTGTTCTCAGAGGGCCAACTACCAAACCAATCACACGGTGAGGGAAGATCTTTCCTTCCTTACGAAGACGTGGTGCTAGGAGCTGTCGAAGAAGACCCGAGTACTTCAGTACGTACAATAGAACTAAAAACAGGTGTGCCCAAAAGTACAGCCCATAGAATCTTGCAAAAAACGTGCTCCATCCATAACACGTGCAGCATGTTCAAGCTCTTCTGCCACGGGATTATGAGCCCCGAGTTGCTTTTTGTCGCACAATGTTAGAAAGACACAGGGAAGATCCACGGTTCTTTGAAAAAATTATGGTCAGATGAGACCACATTTAAGAAAGTTGAGTACATGAACCTGCATAACTTACACGAGTGGCACGTGGCAAACCCACATTTGAGTAATCTTCTAAGTGTTATACCATTTTGGAATCCTTATTAAATGCGCCAACTTCTAAGGTTACTTGCCAAACTCTCGTAGTACATTTTTCTCCAGTACAGCCAGTTAAAGTTGAGCAAAGTTTTACTTTGGAATACTTGGTTGGGAAATAAGTGGCAATTTTTCCTGAACGAGAAAAGTTGGCAGTAAGGTTGAGACACCAGTTTGAAGATGCATTATTCATCATTACATTGTAAAAATAAAATCCAAAAAAGTTAATATTTGTAGTAACAGGAATTGGCAGACTGCCGTAGGGTGTGAAATTTGTATATTTTTTTCAAAGATCTATAATTTTCAAAACACATACATAAAATTTTTCTGATAGCTGTTATGACTTTGCCTATCACCCGGTTTCGGCTTGACGTCGACTTCTGGGACACCCTGTATATGTTGATAAAGAGTAGCTGTTGTTTGAAAACTATTATCATTTCAATGTGAACTTCATATTTGTATCGGAAACAAGGCGATTCAATGTGAAATAATGTTTTCTTCTTGTTTGCATTATTTTTTTTTCTCAGACCTTTTTTACATTGATTGATTCATGCCCTATTTTGGTTTCTGACTTTATTCTGCAATTATTCTCGGTTTTTGTCGGAGGTTTCATCGTTTTCCAGATTTCAAATCTATTTTGAGTTTGCGTGAGAATATATATGCGAGCCCAATGCTATATTTAATTTGAACACACCCACTCGCTCGTGACAGATCCACCCCTGTACGAAGTTTATTTAAATCAGTTACAAAATCTGGCTTGCGCCCAAATGTATGCTTAATAAAAAGTGATTCTTGCGTCGTATTAATGAAGCTGACGGACTGATCGGCATTCGAAAACAAAAATCTTAAAGGTCACAAAGCGATTGTTAACGAAACCCATTTTATTGTTTGCTTCAAGCCAGATTCAAGGTAGCTTTTCTGCATCACAAGCTTCTGGTAATCCTTTCCAAACTGCTGCAAATCAGCTTAAACCTAGCATTTCTACCCAATCACAAACTACAACCAGTCTCTTCCAAACTGCTGCAAACCAGGCTGAACCGTCAAAAACTTCAAATGCCTTCGAAACTATGCAAAGCCATGCACAGCCAAGTATATTTGGTATTAGTGCATTTGGTCAAAAACCAACTTTTGGCCAAGCACCTCAAACTTTATCACCCATTTTCGGACAAACGACTCAATTGCCTACTTTTGGACAAACGACTCAAACATCCACTTTTGGAAAAACATCTCCGACATCCACTTTTGGACAGTCACCTTCAACATCTAGCTTTGGACAAGCATCTTCAACATCCACTTTTGCACAGGCATCTGCTTTCGGACAAACATCAACTACATCAGCTTTTGGACAAGCACCTTCTACATCCAGTTTTGGTCAAACACCTAGTTTTACATCTCCAACACCTAGTTTTGGACAAACACCCTCAACATCTATTTTTGGACAATCACCTCAATCGTCTGGTTTTGGACAAACGTCATCTTCAACATCAATTTTTGGATAGTCACCTCAAAAATCAATTTTTGGACAAGAGTCTACAACCTCATCAGTCTTTGGTCAACAAGGTTCACAAAGTATCTTTGGAAGTTCTCCGGCGTCGTCACTATCTATACAGAGCATTTTTGGAGGTGCTCAGGCTTCACCGATAAATGTGCAGTCTCATATGCAGAGTATCTTTGGAGGTACCCAGTCTTCACAACCATAAACTGCTGATGAAGACCTGTATTCTAAGCTTGAAGAGTTGAGTGTAGAAGAAATAAAGTTCTTTGAGAGTGAAGAGTGGGATCTGAAAAAGATACCTGAGAAGCAGATGAAAACAAAAATTTTAAAGGTCACAAAGCGATTGTTAACGAAACCCATTTTATTTTTTGCAGGCGAGTCCATGGAACAAGCCAAGTGCCTCGTATTCGTCTGGAACGGTTAAGAAAGAAACAACAGGGGGGATTCCAAAGGTGAGTAAAGGAGAAAAAAAAGGATTTAACAGTAACTCTAGTCCACAAAATTGGTGTATATTTTTCCCATGTACTTTTTCCCGCTGAGTACGAATGTGAACCAAAATTGGGAATCGACTGACAAATCTTAGAGAAAACGCATAAAAATGATAAAAACCAAAACACAAGTCCACCAAATAATAAAATTAGATACAGTTTATTGTGACATATATGAATATTCATGCCTAGGTAAATGCAGAATTAAAAATTGTGTTCGATTGAGCAAAATTTTAATGTCCATAAGAAAAAACAAAGTTGATGGAGATCGAAAGCAGAAACGACCTTTGAGAATTTGACTATGCCTTCTTGTAGGGAAGAAATAAATCCCATTTCAAATAAAAGCAGGAAATAAACGACCACTTTGGGACAAATCCAGTATAAAAGGCCTACCTACGTTATTCTTTTTCTTTTTTTTTGAGATAGCTAAGGTTTAGTAATGTCCATGTATGACATATTAACATGTTATATATTTTTGGAATCAGAATTTAAAATTCTAATCATCTGAGCAAAGATCCCATATGGCTCGCATAAGAAAAAATATAGTTGATGCTAGAGGACAAGAGCCGAAACGTCATATTAAAATTATAATTATATCATCTTGTAGAAGAGAAAAAAAATAAAACGACTACTTAGTTCTTATTATAGAATTATGTATAAATATTTTACATTTTCAGTATGACACTTCATATTCAAAAAGCAGACCCGAACCAAAGAAAGAGGAGAGTACCGTAACATCACGAATCGCTTCAAAATACACTAGTCCCTACAGTGCAGGCTACCAGCGAGACACAACCACAGGTATACTGTTTGCCTATAGTACCTTACTATTCTTAATTCTATATTTGTACTATAGTCCAGTCGACGAATCATTATTTCATATTTTGCTATTGTAAGAATCTGAACTGAACACATGTTGCCAGGTTGCTTCTTAATTCTCCATACCCTCTGGCAGCACACATGTAGGCTTGAATTTTTACTAACATTTCGACCACCTTGGTGGCCTTTCTCAAAGTACAGATCAAAAAAGTGCCCAGTGGCACATAATCGATATTTATTTGTCTTCTAGGTGATACTTTCAGTATTTGTTTTTGCCGCTGATATGCAGACTGTTGCTACAACAGCCTGACGAGTCCTGCGTTAAGTCGCCATTCAGTGGCGGACTTACAGGGGGGATCTAGAACATGTTCCCAAATGATGAATTTGAAATTACCTGCTCAAAAATTTTGATGGGGCGGAGGGGCTTAGGGATTCAGGTTCGAGGGGGGAGGGAGGAGGGGGTATCAGGAGATTGAAAATTGAAGAGCGGGTGGTTGGCAAATCAAAACCTAAAAGCTGAGCGACCTCGAGAACACGAAAACCCACCCTGGCAATAATCTCAACACACCTGATGACTGTAATGCTACACATCTGCATTTTTCCTGGAGCCGAAATTCAAAAAATAATACATTGATACCTCAAGGGCACCATGTTTGGCTCAACCTATATCAAATGAACAACAATCGTCTATCTAGTTCGTCTATAGATTGTGACCCGATTCGAAGGAAAGATATACTTAATTAGTGATAAGTTCTAAGCCCACTGGTGGACCTGTTTTTTTTAGATTTGTTTTTATGGCTTGTTATTGTATCCAAAATGCGCAGAAGTTTGCTTCGCCACCCTAAGAACAAACTAATGTATCTTATATTCTCAAAAGCCAAGAACATGGTGCCTTTGAGACTTTTCCTGGCATTTCGGTTACATGAAGAATGCGGATACAGCATTAGTAGTCGAACATTGCACAATAATCAACAGGAGTGTTGCGAGAACAGACCAGAGTGGGTTTTCTCGTTCTCGAGATCGCTTGGCATTTTTGGAACAGTGACCACTTGTCGCTTCGGTGATGCTGAACTTCTTTAGGAGTTTTAGTGCCTAGCCAATGCGATCCTGGAATGGGTTTGAATGATGCCATTATAAAATTGTATGATTGAACTATTACCTGAAAGATAGATAAAAATATAATATGTTGCCACTGCCACAGCCTGTGCTAGGGAAAAGATCTCCGAAAAGCCTACGTATGTGGCTTCTTTTAACGTCAGAAAACAGAGAATTATTCAGATGTTACATCTTTCATCTTGACTAATTTGTTGTTAATTCAGACTGCGAGAGGTAGACTAAAAGGATTACGAAAAATAAAACTACAGTTCCAAAATATCTCATGGATACAATGACGATACGAATTTATGATAATTGGGTTTTTGGCCGCAATAAATGAAAATGTGTCCTGCCAAACACTACGAGGGATGTCTTTTAAGTTTTGCATATGGAAATAAAACAACACGGTAGGTAGTTTTAAATGACTTTATTGTTTTTCGAAGTATTGTCCACGAAGATTAATACACATCTGCATGCGCTTAAACCAATTTTCGAAGCACTTATTCCACTCGTTTGCTGGCAGATCCAAAACGTCATTTTTTAATGCGTCAACTGCTTCTTCTGGTGACTGGAACCTTTGACCACGCAGTCTGTTTTTAGTTTTCGGGAAATTAAAGAAATTGTTAGGACTTAGATCGGGACTATATGGAGGATGGTGCAATAATTCCACGCTTTCTTCCGTTAAATACTGCCTTGTTTTTTGGGCTGTGTGCGAGCTTGCATTGTCTTGGTGGAGGATGATTCTTCTTTCGGGGTTGATTTTTCGAAGCTCGGTGATGACTTTTGGCAAACAAATGGTGGTATACCAATCCGCAGTAACAGTTCTTTGCACATTAAGAGGAATTGTTGCAATAAATGCTTTTGACACAAATGTCGCGACCATCTTTTTCGAAACACTTCGAGAACTTGTTGGCTTTTCTTCACCTTGGAACACCCAAACACCCGACTGTCGTTTATTTTCTGGTTCATAACAGTAAAACCACGATTCATCACCACTAACAATGCTGTACACATTTTTTGAATTTCCAGAATTAAAACGGTCAAGCGTTTTTTGACACCAATTAACCCTGACTGCTTTCTGCTCTGCAGTCAACAGGTGGGGTATCCAACGAGAAACTAATTTTCTTACTCCTAATTCTTTATGTAAATTTTTTTGAATTGAGATCTTTGAGATCTTCAAGCACGCCTCAATCTCGCGATATGTCACATGTCTATCTTCAATGATGAGCTTGCGTACAGCATCGATGTTTTCCTGGGTGACTACCGTTTTTGGTGCACCCACCCTGGGATCGTCGCTAAGACTCACCCTTCCACGTTTGGATTCTCCACACCAACGGGAAATTGTCGACTGATGTGGCGCTTCGTTGCCGAAAACAGACAATAACTCAGCAGGGCATTCTTGTTGCGATAATTGTCTCTGAAAGTTGTAATAAATTATGGCGCGAAAATGTTCTCGGTTGAGCTACATTTTTCTAATGACTTGGTGACACTTAAAAATTCACTGTAGTGAGAACACTGCACGTATTGTTGTGAAACTTTGAATTTAAGTTTACTAAAGAGTGAGGTTAAGATCCAGTACTGAGGTTCGTTCCGCGCGGCCTACTATGTTTCTATATGCAAAACTTAAAAGACATCCCTCGTATATTTTATTCTAATTTTTCCAAGTTCTGGGCATATACGAGGTCTGTAAATTAAGTGATGAGACTGATTTTTTCTTTTTTTGTTTATTCAAATATAATCACAATTTTACAAATATATTTTGTTACCATCAAAATAACTAATAAGGGTTACAGCCGTTTGAACATTTCAACTATTCCAAATTGAGTTCCCGAGGTGGTTTTTCAACTTCGGGAAGAGAAAAAAGTCACAAGGACTCAAGTCAGGTAAATAAGGAAACTAAGTAGCCAGAGGAATGCTCTTACTGGCCAAAAACTTGTTTATTGACATTGCTGTGTGACAAGGAGCGAGTTCAAACTTGCACTGAAGGCGGATCATGTTCCCGTGTCTCCCCTCCAAGCTCGTCGCTTCCAGTATTACCAGATCGAACTCTACGTTGTTGGTCTCATCACTTTATTTAAAGACCTCGTAAAACTATATGAACCATTCTGTTCTATTTCTTTATATTAGTTCCCTCCAATGATGTAACTGGCAAAAAGTACTGCTATTAAAAACGGAGGGGGTAGGTTGGCATACTGCCTATATCAGGCTGTCCTTGATGCTTCTCATTATAAAAGACTCACCATTCCATCAAAATTCTCTTACGATATTTTTGTTATCACTAACGATAATACTCAAAAAACGATTCTTCTTTCAGGATATGGAGCGCGAACAGAAACGTCAAGAATAAAGCCAATTCTCGACAAAAAGGACACCAGTCACCCTCCCGTATCCTACAGACCGATCAACAGAACGGGCGCCAGATCACGTGACTCGAGCCCTATAGAAAAATCGGACAAAAGTACCTCATCTACATCTTCATCGTACAACTATGGCAACCGACTCTACCCTAGACCTTTCCAGAGATCTGTCAGTAAGGAGAGGGTTGATTCAACGATACCAAAGTACACTGGGAGATCAGCTTCGGCAACTAGGGATGAAATTCCGAAATATGGCTCCACATTGTCTGTCAAAGAAGATGTCCCTAAGTACCTCAGTCGGTCACCAAGCAGAAATGCTTCTAGAGAAGATCTCACTGCCGGGTCTCAAAAATCCTACATCAACAGTAGATTTCTACCCAAGAACACTGTTGAGAAAAGCTACACTGCCTATTCGAGACCTCTGTCGGTAAGGACCAACGAGACTAGTAGGAAAAACAGGGAGCTGTTGAACGTTCTGCACGCTCAACAAGAACAGGAAAGACTCAGTAGACCTGCAAGTAGATGCTCATCGACAACGGCCGAGGACATTTCTTCCAAAGAGAAAGAAATATCGTCTTCTACTACAACGAAGTCGGAGAGTCCAGTCAGAGAGATTGAAATGGTGACCGTGCAAGTTGTTACGCGTGGCACCTCACCCACACCGATTTCTCAGAATACTCAGCATCCTACGTTCCTCAGAAGTAGAAGGATCGAAATCGCCAAGGTATGTAACACCAGGTGTAGATGTTCGAATCTTGGAACAAATATCTAAAAAGTTAGTACTTCTGGCAATCCTTATTTAATGTAGTAGAAGCCTGACATCTAGCCTAACTTTCTCCACTTTTCCCAATCCTGGAGATCAAAATTAAAATTAAGAGACTAACCACAAAAATGTGTTCTTCGAACAAAGCTTACTATGTCTGCATCATAGGTTTCTTTTCTATCAAATTCCTTGTTGCCTAATACGAGTATCACAGCTTTAGAGCTTTAGGACCTTGACGCTGGAGGCTGCCTCTATGCATCTCCCTCGCCCACGCTTGATTAACCATTAAAAACACGGCGACAAGTCAAGCTAACGCAAGTTTCTTGTCTGTCGTAAGTATTGATCATCCGGCAACGCTGCTGAACCACACCAGTCAACCATGCCATAAGCGCCAGCCGCGATACTACAACTCGAAGTCCGGAACGCCGACGCTGAGTCAGACGCACACAGACTTTGTCGCGTTTGTATTTATTTCTATTAGTCTCTATTAATACGTGCGTAGAATTACCGGAGTTGGAAGCATATAAATATAGTGACGCCGAAAAGAAACCCCTAAAAAAGTTTGTCTTCTGATCAGGGACCTCAGACGGGTATGGGAGACGTTACATCGCGATTGTAATACCCGGCAGCGCCGCAGCACCCAGAGAGCAGAAGCGTAGACCCGTATCTAAAACACTTCTCTAACATTTTGATCTTTTCTCGCTCTATCTTTAAATACTTGCAAATATCCAAAAGAACCTGTAAACTTTAAAAGCTGTGGAGAATGTTGAGATTTTGAAACGAATAAAGAGTTTTGAATACGTATTTCAGGTGGTTGAGAAACAAATCACTAGACCGAAGAACCCAGTACATACGATGGTAGACAAAGAAATACAGTCTGATCGGCTGGACGATAGTACGAAGATCTCGCGATTCTCTGGCGCATCCAGAATGTCAGCCACACCATGGTCCTCTTTCTTAGACATGAAATTCAATAGTCCAGCCCAAAAGTCAAAAGCCAACGCGAAACCCAAGGAATGCGACAGTCCGAAGAGTCTTTCAAGAACTAGCTCGACAAAAAGCTTGGAGCAGTCACCTGCGAAGACTGATAAGCCTAAGGAAGTTAGGAAGTCGCCGTCTCCAGCAAAGTCGAAAATTGTGCCACCCAAGCAGATTTCTGATAAAAAGCAGTTGCCACCAATCCCAAAAGGAGATAATGCAGTAAAGACCAGCTCGTTGCATTCGTCCTCACCAAATAAAGATTTCAGAAAGTCTGTGCTGAATATGAACCCAGAAGGTATGTATGAAAGAATATGCTTCTTGCTTTGGAAATAGTGTAGAAGTTCACTTTTGTTAGCTGTGAAACTGTCAGTAGTAAGCCCAAGAGAAATATGACTATACCTTCTTAATGCAGTTAGTTTTACTCGAAGAACTTGAATATGAAGTAGCTTTAACAGCTTTATAGACCTTTAGCCATGAGGCTTACGCACTGCAGTTACAGGTGTTGAATAGAAGTTCATTCCAAGTTATAAACGAAGATTCGATTCGTTTGGACTTTCTCCTGACTTCTTTCAATTAAGTTGGTAATTCTGTCATTTGCGCTTCCTGCAAAGAGGTTTGATACACAAAATTATTTTCTGTTAGTGCGTTCTCACCGAGACGGTGGTCACACTGGTTACGGAGAAAATTTCTTGTTGGTGTCCAAGGAATCTTCTATCCCAATGGGCGAGGATCCATAAGCTCAATGCGATTCCAGAGAATCTGAGGTAACCTAAGAACATCCGTGGCGACCTCTGTAACTGTACATGCGCAGGCGGGTCTTTGATTTTATTCAGTAAGAATACACAGAGATCCAAGGAAATCGAAGTATTTGAAATGACTTCCACTTGAGTAGCCTCTTGGTTCAGAATTACCAGCCACTCTTTGTAGCTTCCTTTGATGGTGTTTGTTTACTAAACACTGATAAATGACTTCCTTACAGGAAAATCGAAAAAAATAGGACGTCGTAGTAACTCAGCCAGCTCCGCAGAGTCAGATACAGCTGATCCCGAAGCGACAGATGTTTCTGAGAACCTCAAGAGCTGCGGGTCTTACCATAAATCCAACAGTTCCAAGTTGCCTCAGAAAAGCGCTGCTGATAGATGTCACGGTAGAAGCAGGAGGTCTCCAAGTGCCGAGACAAGCAACACAACTAGCGGCAGTGAGGATGACTCCAAGACCAGAAAGATCAAAGGTGAGTGAATTGACATTTTGCTTAATTTTATTGTATTGGTAGAGACACGCAAGGGCTATTCCCCGAGTAGATAAAACAAGAAAGCAATTTTAGTCAAAAGTGATCTTAAAGAGCCGAGCTGGGAGGTACAAAACTAGCTGATATCTGCTTTTGTCTTTGATATATATACAGGGTGACTTTGAAGTTGAGTCATTAATTTTCAGATAATGATTGTAGAAGGAAGATAAACCAAAACATGTGTGTAAAAATAAAAAAAAAATAAAAAAAAATGTTACCTTGTTTTATAAAGTATCCTCTCGACAAGTATTTCAGTGCGGACCTGTATTTGGTCGTGCGGTCTTGGAGCACCAGCATGCCCTCCCCTGTGAGGTCTTAAGTCACCTGATTCACGAGCCCTTTGTACTACATTAACAAAGGCACGAGGGGTTGGTTGCACTCGATTGGGAAACCGATCCGCATAAACATGTGCCATTTTTTATTTCGTTTGAGCCACGCAGCAAACACCACTATTCACTCACGCGTTACCGACTGACACATTGACTGGATAAAAACATCGTGATGAGCGTTTCAAATTCTTTCACTTTTTTGTTTCCGATGCGATGAACCGACAAGGCGGATTATATCCGTTGTTGCCAAACACGAGCACATAATATTATTATTGAGACAGGGCGGTACTCAAACTTCTAAAGGGCTATAACTTTGTTACTTTAATTTTACCAGAAAAATGTTAAAGGAAAAAAACATTTCGTTTGATGAGATCACTGTTAAAATAAGTCACCCTGTATATACAGGGCGTCCCGGAAAAAGTGTGCAATATTCTACCAGCAGTTTCTAGAGCTTAAAATACTAAGAAAAGTTTATATAAACATAGGTCGACAAACGGCCCCTAAGGGCGCTGGGATATGTTTATATGAACTTTTCTTCCTATTTTAAGCTCTAGAAACCGCTGGTAGAATATTGCACACTTCTTTTTGGGACACCCTGTATATATACTCACTTAGAAAAGCTTCCCATTCCAGAGAATAATTTATCATGACATCACTTAATCATGATCATTTTTTATCTTTTAGGCAAACTCAGTGCTGGATCTTCCAGGACTTCCGTTGTGCTATCATCAGGAGATGAACTTTCAACCGATAAGTCTCCGAAGCCACCTCAAAGTCCAAGGAACAAGTATGACGTCAACAAATCTGAAGTCGAGGCAAAATCGTTCTTGATGAGAGCTTTGGCGCCTGTTACGAACTTCTTCAAAGTTAAGCCACCAGACTCTCCTGAGAGGGCGAACTGGATGGACCCCAGCTCAGAGAGTAACACCGAGACTAAGTCATTTGCGGCCGAACCTATCACAGCAAGAATCATCATACATAGGGTGGAACCTACTGAGCCACCCTGGTGCTCAGACCGAAATGTGGAAGAATCTAATCAGGCGCAAGAACAGTCAACGAGCAAATCAGAGTCCGATCAGAAGCCTTGGTGGGAAAACTCAACAGCTAGCTCAAAGCTAGAATCCGGTTTGAGACATGCGGATTCTATAGAGAAACCTTGGTGGGAGAATGGTTCTGATGAGCAAGCCTCGCAGAAGTCTAACCAACACGCCAAAGAAGAATCTAAAAAACTTATAAAGACGAAAAACGTTGATTCTGGTGAGACACCATGGTGGTTAGATGAAAATGCTGAGGTTCCAGAGGGTGTAGAAACATACCCCAACTACGTAAGAGAAGACGGAACTACTGCTGATGGCAGAGTGGTCTACAAAATAAGGAAGAATGACTCAAGCGAAACCTGTTGGTGGCAAAGTAGTAGCGAAAAGTCAGAGTCAAATCAAAATAAAACAGAACCGAACAACTCCGTATATCCAGAGACTCAATCCAGTTGGGTGCGAGATTACAAACCCAGAAAAATGGACTCGGAGGATGGCACCTGGTGGTTGAGTAGCAGTGAAAAAACGGATTCAGATAAAAATAAAACCAATATAATGGACCCAGAGTACCAGAGGATGCATCAGATCAGACATATTGACTCTGGCGAGAGAAGTTGGTGGTTGAATCAGGAAAATGAGACCGAAGAGCAGCAACAAGCACCAGCAGATCAAAGCCAAATACCTTCTAAATTTCCTGTCAGGCACCAAGACTCACCTGAGAAGCCTTGGTGGCTGCAAGATAGAGAAAGTAACAAAGAAGCTGATAACGACTTCGACAGTGTCAACATGCCTCTTGGCGACAGAGCTAGTCCTGAAGGTTTGGAGATGCCTAAAGACGTTGAAGGAAGGAAGAGTCCGTACGACAATGTACCTAGCATGCAAAGAAGACCTCAGAAGGGTGCTGCTTACATCTCGAGATACATGAACATAGACGAGGTACTTGGTGGAGCTGCCACGCAGATGTGGAGTCCGCTTATGGATCAAATTTGTGGGTATGCAGAGGAACCTGTGTACGAGGTGGATCCTGATCAAGTGGTCATACATGAAGGGGATCAGACCTACCAGAAGATGATTAAGGTGTAAGTATTGATATTTTGTTGTCTTTATATAAACGGAAAATGAATAACTTATTCGTCTAGCTTCAATATTATCTAAGACAGATAATATCGTTCCTGTGGTTTTCATGTTTCTGGCCGAATCAACGCACATATTTATACGATGTGTCGACCACCAAGTACTTGAACACGTACAATAAGCAGGAATTATATGGTTGGATTCAGGCAGAAGCAAAGAGCACGTGAATATATGCAAAGCTTGTTTTATGAAATTCTACTGATATTCTATGGCTTGGCATTTACGTGGGAAAGGGAAGCGGGTATTATACAGCGTGGGCCATAAATGTGTTGGCAATTTCAATATTCAATTAAAAAACAACTACGCAATATCAAAGAAAAATAAATGTACTTTTAAAAAGTAGAAGCCGCTCTAAATTAGTTGGATTATTCTCGTACACCACCGATTTGAGCTAGCCCTATTGGAAATAATTGCATGGAGATAGATCGGGGCTACATGGTGGGAATTCAATATCCCCTCTTTTCGAAATGAGTTTTCCGATAAATACATTTTTCAGCAGCTCTATAGATACCCTAGCTGTATGACATGTGGACCCATTTTGTTGAAATCACATTCTAGAGGTATTGCCTTGGAGTTCTTGCAAAGCTGGCACCAAAAAGCCTGTTATCATATTGCAATAATTGTTAGCTTCAACTGTCATCGCTTGCCCTGGAAGTGGACGTTCATGCAAGGACAGACAGACAACATGGAATGCTTCATTTTTTTGCGAATAACTCTACTGGGACTGTCACCAACACAAACTTGGAATCGGGTCTCATCACTCCATTGTATTGCACACCATTGTTGAGGTGTTCATTGTCTATGTTCTTCAGCCCATCTAAGCCGATTTTTCTTTTGCAGTGGAACTAATAATTAATAGTGGCCTATAAACAAGTTGTGCAACTTTAGGGTTTTTACTTAACTTTTTTTTAAGAAAACTTACCTTGCAAGTGCTAAATCCCAGTTTGTGGGCCTCTCTATGAGTTGTGGACCTCGAAATTCTCCTTCCAACAGCGTCACTCTACAGAGCAGTTAATTGTAAATAATTGGCACGCCTGTTTTTCACGATTATTCTTCTTAATGCTTTTCGGTCAGCATTTGTCATATTACTTTTTTTCACATATCGTGGCTTAATACTAACTGAACCAGTTACGTTAAATCTTCTAACAATATTTCTCACACTGTACCGCGATAAGTCTAACAAAGTTGCAATTTCTGAGTTTGATTTCCCAGAATTAAAAAATTTAATTATCAGTAACCGAATTTTCTCACTAATAACCATTCCTCTACCCATTTTGAAAACCTTAACTACCCAAAACTATTTTAAACGTATTCTGACAGCTGTGATTAATAAAAACAATTGTCATGGCTTTTATTTTTCACAGCCACCTATGCGTTATTTTGAATTGAAATGAAAATAGGTTGATATGCTGTAATTGCAACATGTGTTATTTTTATGCTGCAAATTTGATTAGGGAGTGATAAAGATGGTGTTTTCTACTATATATTATCAAAATATTCATTTTTAATATTTTAAACCTATAAAAAGCTGCTACATTTTTATTATTTGTGTGTGATAAGAAAAAAACTAAGATTTCAATAGTTAGGGGAACTGAAGTGGGAAGGGGCTCGTACATAACGGTTAGCCGTTTTTGAAATATCTCTAATTCTGTGTAAAAAACTCAAACGCAGGCTTATAAATACTCATCGATTTGTGTATTTGTGTATTTGTCATATATATAATGGTTTTTTGTTGGACAGGATTTCCGTTAATAAACTTATTCGACATTGATACAAACAATAATACGAGGTCGTCAGAAAAATGAAGGCTGATTTCTAAAAAACTATAAGTGATTTTTTTCAAATAGCGAGCACCTATTACAGGTTTATAATTTTATCGTATTATGCGTAAAAAGCAAGAACAGTTTTGCACATGGTTATCTAATTCTCAAATTACCAATATACTGGTATAAATGTATTTAGAAAGATCCATTTTTATATCGTAACAATGCACAACACACACACAGTAAAATTATAAAAATAAGAGGTTTCCATTTATAAAATAAACTTAAGCTTCTTAGAACTCAATTTTTATACTCTACTTTTGACCAATTATTGAATAAAGCTATCCCAACCATGAAAAAAAAAACGTTACAAATAATATGGTACAGACACATACAGGAAAAGGTGGCGATTTATCAGATTTTCTACACAAAATTGCAGACATCTCATACACTTCGAATAATATTATGTGATGTCCGAGTAAGTTGGCATCAATTTTCGGTATAATCTGAAGTGCCACTAGCAAATAAAGTAAGTTTTATTATATTATATTAATAAAATATATGAAAATTGTATAGAATTAGGTACAAAACTAGTTGTTTGATATCACAAATATCAAAAAGTAAATAAAATAAAAAATCCATTTTAAAAACAACAGCAACAATAGCTGTTAATAAAATGAGCTTTAGAAATAACTACATGATAAAGCTTTTTTTCTGTATAATAAGCAGATTTATTCTTACAGCAACGCTCTCGGAGCCGTTCCAAAGGGGTCTACCCAACAGACAAAGGTAAGTCCAAGTCGCATGTTTGTTCAAACTTTTGCATCAGTATCTTTGTAAGATGTGTTACGTAAAATATTGTCCCATGTCCTTGGATCCAACACTTCGCCTTTTATTTATTTATTTACGGTTTCCCATTAGATATAAAAAAACATTACGCTTATATAACAGACTAAAATAGCTTTATACAAACTATTAAATTGAAGATACCCAATCTACTTTTATTCAAAACCTAACAAACTAAAGTTGAATGGAAACATTTTTCCTGTGCTTTTTGATGCGCTAAATATTGCTATATAGTATATATATTTTATAGTCGTTGAGAGATGAAAGAATTCTAGTAACTCGTTTATTCATACCTTAATTGCTAGAATGATGTTGAATCGTAAACAGTCCTGCATTGCAAGTTTGTCTTTCAAAAACATTGATATTAATTTGTACAAGCATCTCTGGGCAACCTACAACTATTAAAGATGTTCAAGGTACTCATTAATTCTGAAGCATTCTGACTCCGACCCATTTAAATAGCTGCCTGTTTTGAAAATTTACCTTGCACCAATTAAATTTGTGGACCATATCTCTGTATGTACTCCAAAACATGCGAAAAACAGCAGTATCAAATTCGAAAAACTCTTACTGGTAGATGTTTAGTAGATCAAAAAATGTATGTTATATTATAATTTAGAAGTACGTGTGTTGTAAAAGTTAATTTTGTATCAAAGATTATACCTAAATCCCTAACTGTATCAGTTCTCATGAGGTCATAGTTTTCAACTTTATATTCACACGTGAGAAAATTTGAACTACGGTTGAAGCTTATCTGGTAGCATTTATCCAAATTGATATTGATCTTATTAGTACTACACCACCAACTAAGATTTACGAGATCTCTGCATCGTGCAATATTGTTAACAAACAAATTGAATAAAACTGGACCAATGTGCGAGCCTTGGGGTCCACCTGAGAATCGATGGATTTAGATAATGACACACTGCGTTAGTCCTGACCGGTAGCTTCTAAACCAGGATAGCTAACTTGATAATTCAAAATTCTCCGATTTAGCCAAAATTATTCCGAAAGCTTTCATATAATCCACCTAAAGCTTGTTTCTAAAGGCAGTGATTATGAAGTTCTCATAAATTTAATGATTAAGTATATGGAAGTTGATTTCCTTGCGGTGAAGCCATTACTTATATACATCGAGTGTCCCCTGTGATACCAGGTAGTCTAAAAGCTTTTGAATTTCGGATTGGAGACATACTGCTTGATAGTCTTGCACATCATAATTGGGACCAGATTTATGAATTATTCTTAACAAACTCTCCTTCCAGTAGACAGAAAAGACACCCAAATATAGAGATAAATTGAAGATATACAGGAGTGGCTATGCAAGAGTGAATACACTTTTTCAGAACTTATAGAGGAATTCCAACCGGTCTAAAAGACAGCTTCCAGGGGGTTCTATTGCAGTATCAATGATTTCCCGAATGTTATACTGATATTGCTTTACATCAATACTTTTACTTTTATATGTATAATTTGTAACTTGATCTACTTGCTTGTTTGTATATATATATATATATATATACTAAGTGACATATAAATCCGAACACCCAGTTTAAATGGTTTTATTTTAATAAAAGTTGGTGAATGTATTTATCCTACTGTAAATAACAAGTGAAAAAATTTTCAGCCTCATCAGTTGGACATTCCGGTTTTTATACTGCTTTTTTTTAATTCACTAACGCTCTAAAAAGGAATATTTCAGCCGCAGTAAAGAATCAACGTTGGCGGATTTTGGTTCTTGACATCCTTTACGATCGGTTACGATGCCTAGAGTACGGAGACCTGTACGATTTCGTCAACTTAGTGAGTTTGATAGGGGCCGTATAGTGGGACTTCGGGAAGCTGGACTTTCTTTTCGGGCAATTGCAGTTAGAATGCAAAGAAGTGTAGACACTGTGGTTAGGTGTTGTCAGGCATGGCTTCGAGAAGGCCGTACGCAAAGAGCAACGGGCACTGGACGCCGCCGTAGAACAACAGACCGTGAAGATCGCCGCCTAAGATTATTGGCCTTAAGGGACCGTTTCTCCACTACCAGGTCCATTGCAAATGAATGGTTTGCAGAACACGGAAGACCTATTGGCATGCGAAGTGTTTACCGACGAATGAGAAGTTTTGGCTTGTTTTCATACCGGCAACACTGGGTCCTCCCTTTAACTCGAGAACACCGACGTAATCGCCTTGAGTGGTGCAGACAACGGTCACTCTGGGATCAGGAATGGAACAGTATTGTCATTAGTGACGAGTCTCGATTTTGTTTAGGCATGCACGATGGTCGCGCCAGGGTTAGAGGACGACGTGGTGAAAGGAGGAATCCACAGTTTTTTGTTGAAAGACATGTTCATCACACTGTTGGAGTTATGGTTTGGGGTGCTATAGCTTATGGTTCCAGGTCACCTTTAATCTTCATCAGAAGTAACATGAACGCGCAGCGTTATATCCACGAAGTTCTAGAACCCCATCTTTTACCCTATCTTGACACCCTGGCAGATCCAAATTTCCAACAAGATAATGCCCGACCACATGTTGCAAGAGTCACAATAGACTTCTTTCAACATAATGATGGCACATTGTTACCATGGCCACCAAGATCTCCCGACTTATCCCCAATTGAGCACGTGTGGGATATGATGGGTAGGAGATTGCTCAATTTGCAACGTCCTCCTCAGACTCTAGAAGCACTTCGAGAGGAGTTGGTGGTTGCCTGGAATGAGATACCACAGGAGGACATTGACCACCTGATCAGAAGCATGCCTAGGCGCGTTGGAGGATGCGTAGCACACCAGGGTGCATCCACACATTATTAAAGGTCAAAGGGCTTTAAAGCAGTGCACTCATTTTGAAATTTTTATCATTTTCTTATTATGCTTCATTAAGCACTTATACAAAATTTTATTAAAATAAAATCGTTTAAACTGGGTGTTCGGATTTATATGTCACTTAGTATATATATATATATATATACCAAAGAGTACACCGCTGGGTGGTCACATCCGAACAACTATTCCTATTAAGATTGATTCACCATATGCTGTATAGTTGTTTACCGAAAAATATGATATGCGACCACAGTTTACATTTGACCGCTATGCTAAAAAACTTATTAACCAAAATGATTTAAACACAGACGTAATTACGATTGTTTTTAATTGAAAAGCAATCACCAGCACATAAATCAGTTCAAATTGTGTGTTATTATTGTTCAACGTGTCGGTTGATTAGGTATAAACAGGTTATCGGTCGCTAGGTATTACTCAACCACCCGTTTCCCAGTTATTATAGCCCGGGAGGTACAAACCTATTTTTCTATTTGACCATGGAATTTATGACTTTTTTTCTGTAGAAATAAGCATTTGAAAATGAAGTTGGATAATTTATATAAAAGACGTTAGTTCCACAGACGCTCGCTAAAAATCTGCAAACAAATTTTAAGCAATTATTGCCTCTCACACGCATGTTCTGAATACCATTTAATGTCTGGAAAATCAGGAAGATCTGCCTCGCCCGATTCAACATACTTTGCAGTAACATGATAATCATCAATTTCCATTGAATTATGTACCTCTGCTAATACATTTCCGGAAACTCAAAATTGGGTCTTTCGAACGGTTCATTAATTCTAACGCCGCGTTAATCCGAAAAAAGTAAAAAATAGATACTGCCGACATAATCACCATCTAGACGTCCCCGTTCACGTTAACTTGTCATTTTAATGATAAATGAAATAGCTTGGGCGCCTCCAAGATTTTTCCCCCGGGTGACCTGCCCCAAGCCGAGGGTATTTTTGGGAACTGCAGAAATCGGAAACGAAAATATTCGGAATTAAAGGAATCGCGAACATGTTCATAGAACGATCCTAGTATATCGAAATCAAACAGCGTTAACTCTTGCATTCACACTGTCACCTGTAAGTGACACAACTTTGACTTTTGTTTTTTTCCATAATAAAGTTTAATTTTCATATCATTCTATTATTTTTGCTTAGCTAATTGATCACTCCATTCATTTTGTTTTCTTGCAACACTGAGCATATGTCACAATGTCACAAATAATATCCAGGCGGTTAATATTACAGTTTTTCACTTCGTACGTCTACTGGCGGGGAAGTTGCAATCGCGAAAAATTTCGAAAATGAGATATTTTATTTTTTGGATATTTTACGCCATGAACATCATGAATAATCATGTGACCAATTTGCATCTGTCTGTCTGTGGGTTCCAAGCAGCACTCATTTGATGTACAAGCTGCAAGGATTTAGCGGAAGGTGACTAGTATTTAAAAGAAAAAACCTCAAAATAAATGGAAGTTTAAAAGTGGTGAATTGAAAATGTATTTTAAAATCCGGACGTCAAATAGAGATATAAAAGAAAAATCCAGAAATGGGAAGAGAAAATTGTAACATGAACTCAATAAAACTGTTTACCAATATAAAAGTTATTAAAAAACCATTTGCACATAGCATTTCATACAAAATTATAAAGAGTAATATACAGGGTGGCCCATCCATGCGTGGACGGAATATTACTCATAAACAGGTAGGTAAATCTATTTATGGCATGTTATACATGACATTTGAGGTCACATTTCTAAAATATTGGCAGTTATACAAGGTGTCCCAATTTTGACCTACATATCAAAGTTGTGATTTTTTAAATGGAATGCCTCAAATTTTATTGCATATTTGGATTAATCAAATCAAAAGAAGAAGATTAATATAACGTACTATGGGGTTTTGATGATTAGCTACTGAGATGTAAGGTGTTTTGTCCAGAAAAACCGTCCACTTCGGCAACCCCTCAATTAGCCATTTTGAAATTTGGAGAGCTGAATTTTATATCAAAAAAAACTTACACAGCCCAGCTTTTATCTTATTTGTTACTTTTTCGAATTCTCATGTTTGCTCGTACAGGGTGGTCAAAAACGCGAATTGTCATTTTTCTCAAAAATTTAAAATGCACCACCCTGTATATTTGCACAAGTTTAAATTCAATTTTTTA